TTTTTTGCATATCTAGTACTGTTTTTTGATTTGTGGTTACCGTTAAGTTTACATATAACATCTTTTGTATATAGCAGTCTATATTAAGTTGATGGTTCCTTAGGTTCGAGCCCATTCTTTATTCTTCTGCCCACAATGTGTTAGGTACATGGTGTCAAAATTTACCTCCTTTTACTTTGTGAATCCCTTGACTGATTTTTATAGTTACACTTAATCTCACTGCTTTTGTGTGCTTCCAACTTTTCTTATTCCTACTTATGGTCTTTTCTTTCCACTCAGAGAGTCCCCTTTAACATTTCTTATAGGGCTTGTTTAGTGGTCATGAATTCCATTCACTTTTGTTTGTCTGGGAAAGCCTTTATCTCTTCTGTTCTGAATGTTAACCTTGCTGGATAGAGAATTCTTGTAAGTATTTTTCTTTCAGCACTTTGAATATATCATGCCATTCCCCTCTAGCATTCAAAGTGTCTGCTGAAAAATTCACTGATAGCTTTATGAGGTTCCCCTTGTATGTAACTGTGCTATTTTCTCTTGTTGTTTTTAAAATTCTCTATCACTCCATTTTGCCATTTTAATTACTATGTGTCTTGGTGTGGACCTTCTTGGGTTGATATTGTTGGGGGTTCTCTGTGCCACCTCAATCTGGATTTCTATTTCTTTCTCCAGATTTGGGAACTTTTCAGCTCTTATTTCTTCAAGTAAATATTTTGCCCCCTTTTCCCTCTCTTCTGTTCCTGGGATCCTTATAATGTGACTGTTATTACACTTCATGGTGTTGCTGAATTCCTTAAGTCTATTTTTATTTATTATTATTTTTTTCTCCTGTTCACTTCGATTGCTTTCCATTGCTCTGTCCTCCAGGTCACTGATCCATTCTCCCTCCTCTAGCCTACATTTATTCCCTCTACTGTGTTTTTAATTTCTTATTAAATGAAGATGAAGTTATAGAGTTCTTCATCTTTGGTTATTTTTTAAAATGTTTTCTGTCTCTTTGTTGAGGGTGTCACTGAGGTCCTTCATTCTTTTTTCAAGTCCAGTGAATATCTTTATGACCATTACTTTAAATTTTGTATCAGTCATATTATTTATCTATGTTTCAGTTAGTTCTATTGCTAAGATTTTGTCCTGTTCTTTCATTTGGGGCATATTCTTCTATCTCCTCATTTTGTCTAACTCTCTATTTGTTTCTATGTGTTAGAAAATTCAGCTACCTCTTCCTGCTCTTGAAAGTAGTGGATTTATGAAGAAGAGGTCCTGTCAGGCCCAGCAGTGCACATCCCCTGTTCATCAGAGCCCAGCACTTTGGGTATGTCTCCTGTGTGTGTTGCTTATGTCCTACTGTTGTGGCTGAGCTTTTTTTCCTTCAGTCCAATTGTCTGCAATTGGCTCTCTTTGCCTGTTGCAGGCAAGATTTAGTTCCTGTATTGTTAATGGGCCAGTCTGGGGCCACCTTGGGCTTGAGCTGAGTCAGACCAGGCATTTGCCAAAAATACAGTAGCATTGAACTTCAGGGAGCTTTCCCTGTGGTGTCCCGTGAACAGATTTAATTACCAGGCAGAATCTGCACTCAGACCAGGTATCTGCCCCCAGCCCACTGCTAAAGCTACAGTCAAACTGTTGTGTGTTTATCTTCCCTTCACCCTTGAGCAGGAGTCACTTTCGAGTTGTGCTGTCCCCTGTTGGGGCTGCTTGCACACTGCCAGGCCTGTGTCAGTGCTTTGGATAGGTTGTAGCCAAAGGTATATTGGAGGGGGCAGGTCTGTAGAAGAGGGCAGGGAGTAAAGTTTGCACAGGTCTCTGTGGGTGGGGGTGGGGGTGGCTGGAGCACCTTTAGAAACCTTCTGTCTCAGGGCCATCTGCAGGAGAGTGTGACAGGACATGCTGTGCCAACAAGGTTCATGCCAGTCGACTGTGGGAGGGGACCTGCAGCCACCAGGGGAACCTTCTTCCCAGGCCAGGATGGAGGAGGCATATCCACAAAAGGGCACAGGGGCAGGATGTGCTGTTAGCAAGCTAGGTAGAGAGCATTTGCATCACCCTGGTTCTCTAAAGTGTCTGTGTTTCTA